AAGTAACATGATTGCTTTTTCATTATTCAGTGTCCATGCTTTTAAGAATATTTTCTTAATTTTTTATTTTAAAATACCATCCTTTTCCTTTGGAAAATCTCAGTACTAGACACGTAATGGAAGTTATACCTCTGCAAGTCATGATATATTTTGAGCTATTGACAAAACCTTGAGAAACTGGAGAAATTGGTGCAAAAAATGCTGGAGAAATAGGCATCAATATTATTGAAAGTTTATATTTTCTTTCCCCTGCAGTATTGCACAATCAGAAAAAAAACTACAAAACTTATCTGTCCCTTCTGGAATTACTGAGAAGTCCTAGTTGTGAGGAAAATACGATAAAACAGCTACCATAAAATTCAATTTTATTTCTTAATAAAAGTAATGCATTAAAAAACAGATATTTTTGCAAGCCTTGCCTGGTAAACTTGGGGTTAACAGGGCTGGTACCCCATTAAGATCTCCCTGTTTGTGCTGCTGCTAAATGCAGTTGCTTGCTGATGGAATGCCAAGATTTGCACTTAAAAAGAAGCCTTGCTAAGTTTTGTAGGAGAAAAACAATCTTGTACTGATAAAATACTATACTTTCAACTTGGGGAAAAAAGCACCTAGAAAATACTTGCTATGCCACAACACTCTGAAATGTACTTTATAACAAAACTATCAAAAATACAGAATTCTTCCAGCTGGCAAAAATCTCAGTAAACACATCTCTTTGACAAAGTTCTCCTTTCAGACATGCATGGGGGAGGGAATCCACAGAAAGGAAATTTGTGATTCTGTGGTGGAAGGAAAGCCATAAAAGAGGAAGGGTGAACTAAGGTGACTTGCCTGGATGGCTTGTAACAAATGTCTCCTTATATTGTCACCTTTATAGTGAGAATTACAGTGAGATGCTAATGGTTATCTTGGGCACAAAAAAGGACATAAATAAATATGGAAAAGAGTCCCCATTTTGGAGATTATTATGAAAAAAAATAGTCTGTGAATTCTAGTGCACCATAATCTTTATGTCTTAGTAGTATACACAAGCTACTTCTCAAAAAAATCCTTTCCAACCCAAACAATTTTATGATGCTATGCAAATAATATTTGTCAACAAGTGCCTTCACTATACTTACTGCTGCCTGACTGTGCCCAGGACTCAGTCCCAAAAGCCATGAAAGCAGTTTACTGGCCCATTCCATGGGTTCCTCAATCTGCCTTGTGAAGCACAGAAATTATTGATTCTATTAATACTTCATCATGAAAAATCACCGCTATTCCCAGTATACATCTTAATAGTTATTACTATATTCCACAAAATGGAATACAAAAATAGAATTCCATGAAAAAATCCTGCCCAGCTCCTCAGGGTATAGCTAAGTGGTATTTTTAGGAGTCTGCCCAGGTCCTTTGCTTCCTTGCAGGGAATTTTTTAATGGGTCTTGCTATTAGAACCTTTTTTCACCATCCCATTAGCAGTAGTTTCATAAGAAAGCATGCCAATACATCTACTGTATCTGTGGGACTGCATAATGAATGGTTAGTTCTCTGAATCCAAAAGATGCAGGAATATAAGGGACTATACAGCCTGGATGTGTTTTGTGGATGTAAAATGCAAAAACTAAAAACCATGATCCCACATCATAAGGGGGACATGCGTTCATAGGGCAGCAAAGCCAGGAGAGGAAATCAACCCAGAAGAGACAAAAATAGGCAAACTTATCTGTTTAACGTGGTCAGATGTTAATATTGGTACTTGGGGTAGCACAAACCACAAGTGATTATCCTCACATTGGCTCTACACTTCAGAAGCTTCCTCCACAAATGCAACAGTCTGGATAAACTAGAATTTCAGGCAGAGGACAGAATACATAATATCTGGTTATTTCCTATGTAGTAAGAATTGTCATGTGATGATGCAGGGGTTTGTTATTAGTTAGCAGAAGAGCTTAGCGTAAAATAATCCCTGTCAGAGACTTGAGTCAAAAGGCTTTTAACTGGAGGGTGACTATGTTACAAGGCATAATGTTAAAATCCTTTTCTGATTTTTTCATCATCCTTTTTAATCCCTAGAAAATTGTCAGCTCCTGTGAATAAAGGTCTCCCAATCTATTGTTCAAACTCAGGTCACACTCTCTGTTCAGTGATAAGTTATACCTATTCTGTGTATCACTTTCAAAAGCACAGAAACAAAGAACAGCTTTACATGAATATCAGCTCAGCCTCTTGCTTTTTCCTTGAGCTGCGTCTCCTAGAGCTGTTCAACCTAAATCCCTTCTTCCTCAGAGGTCCCATTCTCACTTTCCCCGTAGTAAGGCAAGGAAGCAGTCTTGGGTTTATAGTACATGTCCTTCCTTCTAGAAATATTTTCCACCAAAAATCAACACAGGCTAAAAGAAGCCAATTTAATGTTGCTGTAAAGCTTCATTTTTCTTTCAGAGGGATTTAAACTGATAACTGGAAAAGCCATGGCCATTTCGTTCCGCTCCTTTACTCCCCTCAGTATCATTTTGTTAAAATCAAAGAGGTCCTGCTAAATTATGTCCTTCAGAAAAAGGGCCTAGATAAAAGCACTAGACTCTGCATTCCATGTATTTTATATAATTATAGGAGGTGTTTATGCCCAGGCACTGGCAGTGGGGACTGCCAGACAGCCTCTGCACAGAGCGGCTGGGGCCACCCCATGCCAATTCCAGCATATTCCAGCACACCCACTGCAGGGCATGGCTAAGCCCTGCAGCCAAGGTGCTGGTACCTCTGGGAAAGTGTATTTAACAAAGGCACAAGCAGTGGACAATGAGGGGGAAAATGTGAGAAATAACCTTGGAGCACCAAGGTCAGAGAAGAAGGGTAGGAAGATGTACTCTGAGCACTAGAGCAAAGATTGCCCTGCAGCCCACAGTGGCCTGGGGAGGACCCTTGCAGGATGATGTGTCCTGAAGGAACAACATCCCATGGACAGTAGCTAAGTTTTCTTTTCTCCTGAAGGAATTGCATCCCAAAGATAGGACTCAGTTTCAAGGAAGGGAAATGTATGAGGAGTAAGGAACAGCTAAGAGGAATAGTTGTGGACTGATCACAAACCCGCATTCCCATCCCCCTGCACTGCTCAGGGGTGGGTAGGAGGTATAGGAGTTGGGAATGGAGGAAGCTGAGCCTGGCAAGAAGAGAGGGAAAATTATTTTAATATTTGTCTTTGTTTCTCACTCTAAAAATCTATTTTAAATGGCAATAAATCACATTATTTTGCCCCAAGATGAACCTGTTTAGCCTATGAAAGTAACTGATAAGTGACCATCCCATCCTTACTTCGACCCAACCTTCCCAACCTTACCAATTCCAACTTCCCAACCTTACTCAACATGAGACTTTCATCATATTTTCTTCCCATATTCTGCTGAGGAGAAATAGTGAGAGAGTGGCTGGGTGGATCTGACAGTCAGACAAGGTTAACCCACCACTATAACTAAAACCAGAATTAAGACCATCCATCTTCCCAAAACCAGGAGATATTGTGACAAATTCCCTTTTCCTCAAGATAGAGTGTTAGAGTAAAGCTAAGCTAAGGGATGTTTCCTCTTTCTTCCTTTCCTCAACACTCAATGTGAAAACATTTCTGTTGTAACTGTAGTGGTACACTCACATACAAGTTTTTTACATTCACAAAGGCAGCAAAGTTATGTGCTATTAGTGGACCTCTGAATCACATTCTACCATGCCTTCATTCTGAATTTAATGATTTATTTCACAGTAGGAAGAGACAAGCTATGGAAGTGGTTTTAAAGACCTGAAATTCACTTTCTGCTTTCTTTGACTTTGGTTGTATATATTAATATTATATATTTTTTTCTATGTATAGGGGTGGGGTTTTTATTAAAAAAATTGTGGCACTATCTAGCCAAGAAAACAAAACACAAATAATTGAAAGATGTGCAGAAAAAGAAAGTCAGACAAAATTTACAGTAGTTGTAACACTTTAACACTTTGTAAAATCTACAGTGTGCCAGTATGTTTAGAATACTTTTTCCTGGTAAATGATTTCCCCTCCTTTTCCCTTGTGTGCCATGGTGCAGCATGGTTAACTTTTTTTTAGTTTTAGAACATCTGTGAGTTCTAGGGCTACATTCAAGATCAAAGGTCAGCTATTAACAGCCCCTAACTAGGGTTGTTAGGTTTTGCAAGGACCATATGGAAGAGTCGTTCAGAAAGAATCTGATCACTTCTCTCAGGAGGAAACAGCTAGAGCAAGGACAAAGGAGACTATATGAATGTCTCAGCCCTATCTCCCCATGGAAAGAAAGACACCTCATAACAATGCAGCATATCTCTACTTTTCCTCCTTTTTAACACATAAAAATATACAAGGACATCTTTTATATCAATTTCTCTCTTTTTTTTTTTCTTTATGTGGGAAATATATGAGATATGTGGCTGCATAGGGAAACCCTCTATTGGTGCTTCCTCCTCTAGGTATTTTAGGAGTCCCCTGGAGAAGGCATGAATGTTCATCCCTATGTAGCCACCAGACATGAACTAGTTTTCTAATAAGAGTCTTATTGATTACACAATTAAAGTTACAGTCCCTTCATTTTTCAGTCCTCTAATCCTATGTCCTCCACAGTCACACAAATACAAATCAATAAATCTGCAGCATGTTATCCTTTACGCAGACCCAGGGATAGAAATATAGGGTAATTTTGTCTGTCTTCTGTGTTCAAAATGCTTGACCTAGGTTCTGAGCAAAAAAACTTCCCAATATGTATTAATTCACCAAGTATGAAACATATTAAAATCCTGCATTTAATTTGTCAGTGAGCTTTTAATGTGAAGAAGAGAAATATTATCACTTTGTCACAGAGTGCAAGACCCCATGCCCTCTCCAAAGGAAATTTCTGAGGTTGCAATTCAGTGTTATTGAAGTTCTATCTATTATGATGGCTGATTCTTTTAATAGGACATATATATGTAATTTAATACCTGATATTATTTTTTTTCTCTTCCTCTTTTTTTTTCAGAGCAAATTATGACATCGACATCTAAAGGAATTTTCAGGCCATTTTTTATTATCTTCATTATCCTTGGTTGTTTCATGGCATTTATATTAATTTATATCAAACCAACAAATAGCTGGATCTCTGGTCCTATAGAATCAGCCAGTTCAGTGCTGAAAATGAAGAACTTCTTTTCTTCCAAAACTGATAATCTCAATGAAACTACTGTTTTGATCTGGGTTTGGCCGTTTGGTCAGACATTTGATCTAACATCCTGCCAAACGATGTTCAACATCCCCGGGTGCCATCTGACTATTGACCGCTCGCTGTATAACAGATCCCACGCTGTCCTCATTCATCACAGAGACATTAGCTGGGATCTGGCTAATTTACCTCAGCAAGCCAGGCCACCATTCCAGAAGTGGATTTGGATGAACTTGGAGTCTCCAACTCATACTCCACAAAAGAGTGGCATTGAACACCTTTTTAACCTGACCCTGACTTACCGGCGTGATTCAGATATCCAGGTGCCTTATGGCTTCATGATGGTTGGCACCAGCTCCTTCACATTTGAAGTACCAAGTAAGGAAAACTTGGTCTGTTGGGTTGTGAGTAACTGGAACCCTGAGCATGCTCGAGTCAAGTATTACAACGAGCTTAGCAAATACATTGAAATCCACACCTACGGACAAGCCTTCGGAGACTACGTCAACGACAAAAACTTGATTCCAACTATCTCCACTTGCAAATTCTACCTTTCCTTTGAAAATTCAATCCACAAAGATTACATTACTGAGAAACTCTACAATGCTCTTCTGGCTGGATCAGTACCAGTTGTACTGGGTCCTTCCAGAGAAAATTATGAGAATTACATTCCAGCAGACTCTTTCATACATGTGGAAGATTTTCTCTCCCCCAGAGAGCTGGCAGAATATCTTCTGATGCTTGACAAAAATAATAAGATGTATCTTAGTTATTTCAACTGGAAGAAGGATTTTTCAGTGCATCTTCCTAGGTTCTGGGAATCACACGCATGTCTGGCTTGTGATCATGTGAAAAGACACCAGGAATACAAGTCCATTGGAAATTTAGAAAAATGGTTTTGGAATTAATTTGGGGGGGGGGGGAGGGGCAGTGGTGTGGGTGTGGGTGTGTGCGTGTGTGTGCATTTTTTTGAAGAAGCCAGAAAGGACTTCAGTCCAAGTGGAGAGGAAAGGAAAAGTGAAAAAAAGGAAGGAAAAGAGAATCTCGTGTCATGGTTTATCAGTTATTCTCTCCTATTCATATTTTGTAAGAGATTTTAAAAGATCAGCAGCAGTCATCAGTACCCAGTTTCAAATTATAATAGAGATACTAATTATGTGCACTGAAGAGTATTTGATTGCTTATTATAAATTTAAAACAAAATTTTCCACATTTTCTGTGAAACATGCCCCAGTCTTACACTTGAAGTAGTCATTTTTAGCATTTTTTAAACATTAACTTTGTTGTTTAAGCTATTTGGAAAATGAGAAAATTTTTAAATGTCAGAGAAAATTTTAAGAACATAATTTGTTGTTCCAGACAGAAATGTGTGTAATACTTCAAAACACAGTAAAATTTCATATGTTCATCTTGCATTTAAGTACACAGTAGAGTACAATACCTAACATTATGGAAGTGTGATTAAGTGCTCCCCTTTTAAGGGTAATGAACCTAGAACTATAGTTTTAAAATGTATTAGAATAGTGGATAGTCTTTATTTCTAAAAAGGTTTCCTAACAAACAGTCCCATTATGTTGCTTTAGGAATATATCCCTTCTTACCATTGAAAGAGGGTCAGATTTAGAGAAAATGACCAAAGCCCAGATTCATCCAATTTTTAAGTGTATTCAAATGCATCACACCCTTAGCTCTCAGTATGTCTCAAGTATTTTTAACCTGAACCAGGGCTTTAAGTAGTGAGATAAACAAATTTTAGCAAAGGTGTTTGATTACATCACCCCTATGCACTGAATTCAGCTGGTAATAATGGATTTTTAGAAGCAGTTTGCTGAGAAATTTTAGAAAACTCTCTTATATAATTTCTTGAATAATAATGAATTTTCCCCCAGTTCTGTAAAGGTCTCATGAATTTTTACTGTAGCTGCACAACTTGATGTTATGACACATAAGTGTGGGGAAAAATTACTAAGCAGTCAGTTTTCTCAGAGAAACATGCTGAAATTCAGTAAGTAAGCTATCAGGTTGCTATATAACATTTCAACCTACTATACTAATGAATTTGGGAAGTTGAAAATATTTTGTATGAGAGGTATTAAAAATGCACTCTTCAGAGCAACAGCTGCTATCAATATTTGATAATATAAGTAGATTTTTAAGTTTTAAATTTGGTCTAATAGCAACTACAAAATTGTGATGATTGTCATAACTTTTAAAATGTCTGCTTCAAACATGTATAATTGTGGAGCATATAATTTTATTTTACTACTTTTTTCTTTCAGTTAAGATAAATTGCTGATTGCCATATACATTCCTATGTACAAGGTTCGTTTAATGACATACATGTATGGGTACGTTTTGGTATCAAATGAAAGCCAGTCAGCTTGGATTTTCAGGTCAAAGTTCTGCAAATCATACCTGCTACTGGGAAAAAAAAAAAAAAAAAAAAAAAAAAAAAAAGTTAAACTGGAAAGACTTCTGCTTATGTGATGTATAAGACCCTTATCAAGCAAAGTAGTCAATCAAGTAACTGAGATTAAATTTGCAGGAAAAATGTTGCTGCAGTAAGGAAATGAGATATAAATTATAAATATTTAGCAAAAGACAATGGGACTTACTACAGGCTGGAATAGAAACAAAAAAGGCCATAAGAGTAATTAGTTAAATTTCTAGAAATGAAAACCCTGTGGAAAAGTTATGGAATCACTTCTGCTCTGCCTATGGTTTCAAAAGCTGTATTCTGATCAAGCTAGATTTCAATATACTGTGAATCACCTAAACTCACCAGCATTCTAGTATGCAGCAAGATAAGCTTACCTTGAAAATTAATGCAATATAAGGAGTCTTCTAAAAACAAACTTCTTATGTGCATGTAGTATGAGTAGTATTTTATCATTTTGAAGGCAAGTGGCTATAGCTTATAGTCTGTCCTACAGGACATCAAAACATTTTGTTTTCAGGAGGAGTGTGAAATTCTCAGTCACTGAACATACCACTGGTTTGGCTCAATAACCTGATTCCCTCAGCGCTGGAATTAGGAAATCCTTTGCATTGACAAAGGATTTGTCAATGCAAAGGAAAGTGAAAGGTGAATGTGTACAACCATTCCTCACTTCAGATTATGAGAGTTTTTCTGTGTGTTAGAAGGCCTTGGGTCCATAAGACTGGTTTCTTGGCAGCAAGTTCAGCTAAGTCCTTATAGTAATAGCAAGCAAGCATATATAAGATATATGAAGTGTTACTACAAATATTTGTCTGTGTATACACAGGAGAGGTTTGAAATATACACTGAATGTTAATCTTTCAAGTAATATCTTTACCTCTGTAAGCACAAGATCCAGTCAGCATGGCTAAACTTAGGCTGAATTTTAAGAAATGTGAAAGTCTTTTGATGGAACTGGAAAGAATGTTGTTCTCTTCACAAGAAGCGCCACACAAGGCTTGTATATGGTTAATTCAGGAAACATTGCTAAAATTACTTCAAAGATAAATAAAACATGAGAGAAAGCTAATCCAGAATTATGTATAAAAATCATTATGAAATCAAAAAAATATACAGGACCCTAATGCCACACTGGCATTCTTGAAGAGTAAGTGCTGGAACAAAATTGAGCCAATTTTTATTAAGATTTTAAGGTGATCTGCAAGTATCTGGCCTTAAGCAGTTCTGGATATAAAGATCTTTGTTGACAGAAGATGAAGAATTTTTAGGCATGTTCAGCCTATATAGTAAATGATGTCAAGCAGTGGATACAAAACATCTGTGCTCCATGCATGCAAAAAGGCTGCCTACCTAGACCTAGGCATTTAACTCACCTAAGGCTGCTTCCAGTCTATATCTGACATTCAGCTTGGTGAGGTCTGTGCTTCTTTTGTGATCTACTCTACATGAGCAGCAAGCATAAACAGAAAAATAACAAATCATTGTGAAGACAATGAGCAAACTCAACCACCTGTGGAAGGAACTAGGCAAAATAGGTATTGTGCTTTGGTATCACTGGCAAAAGAAGATAATTGTACCAGAAAAGTGAACTAGAAGATAAGAAATCACACCAGTTCTAATTGTTTTCTCAACAATTTTCCTTCAGACATTCGGTTTCTATTGTTTGCTAGCCCACAACAATCTTGAGTTGCACTCATCACAAGTTAACTAAGCAGTCAGTGAAGACACACAGTATCATCATTCTTTCTTTTACAGTGGCTTACTTTGGATGTTTTTGGCTCTCTGTCATGCACTGAGCTATCAACATAACTACTTTTCTCAGTATGAAAAATAAGACCCAGACCAGATAAAATACTAGGTGCACATGCGTTTTTACCCTACTGAATGTGAGCAGGTACAAGACAAGACTGGCAGCAGATCCTTCTAAAGCAGTTTTCCCTTTATTTCATAGACAATGTCCACAGCAGATCTTGCTTAAGTATGAGATCCCCATTCCATAGTGAATCTTCTTGCCAGTTTCTTTGAATGCCTCATTCCACATGTCTATACCACAGTGACCAAGCAGCCTGGGTGAGGCCATAGAAAGTGGAGACATCCAGTAACATATTTGTCTTTTAAGAAACAGATCAAATAAAATTAAAGTTGGACTGATAGATCATAAATGTGGGGCTTTGTAGAGTTCATGCAGGCTACCATGAGCAAGATATGGGAAATTCACATCACTGAACATAATAAAGAACTACTTGCTCTCTCTGGATGCTCATGTTTTTTTCTCAAAATAGGCTTGAAAAAAATCCACATAATTTTCTCCCATCTCTAAACAAGCAGTTAAATAGCCAATAACTACTCCTTTTTATTCAAGAATGGGACTCCTGTTAGTCTTGTACTGTCTTTTTTATTAGATGCAGAATAACATTCAGGAGAAGAGAGAAGTCTGTCAATAAGATAATTCTATTTCTTATCTAGATTCAAGGATCTTTATTGTTATTTTCTTATTTGATTTACAAGTCCTCATGCATCAAAATTTTCTGGACATGATACAAAAAGACCTAAAGAATATGCAGATGACCATGAGACTTAAGTGTGTGCTTAATTTTAAGAGCATCTTAAATGCTTTAAAGTACTGGGGCTCCAGAGAATATGTTTTCATTGCCTTTAGGAATTGTGCCAAAGAGTGCAATCTATAGACATCAGAGATCAACTTGTGTGGCCTCTTTTACATCATGTCTGTAGAGAGTAAAGAGTGGCTGAGTACTGAGCAGTCCACACTGAAAACCTTGGATTCATTCTGATTTGGTGTCTAACCAATAAATCTTCGCCCAACTTTTCTTCTCCTACACCACCTCAGGCCACCCCCTCAGCACAGTACCTCAGCTTACAGCCTGCCCGTGCTGTGCAGGGTTGCTGAACTTCCATGTGACATGAAGAAGCCAGAGTGGCTGAGGATGCTGAGGTAGTATTTTGAGGCCTGTCCAAGGATGAAAGCATAAAACGTGGTCATGTCCTAAAATCTGGACTCACTGTGCCCTACAGGGAGTCAGTCTCGGCCATACCTGATTTTCCTCAGAGGAAAGTATTTGGTTCATTCTAGGTGAGACTGTGAGTAATCACTGTGTGTGCAAAGTGGGAACAAGAGGTATCTCTGTGTAGGGTGACAAGGAAGTTTCTGACCTATTTAAACCTAGCAGTGAAAATTTAACAAATACTCAAGTGTTCCTTGGTTAAAACTAGTATGTTATTGAGAACAGAGTCCAGGGGAAGTATTTGTATATCTACGTAAAAGCTGGTGGGCTTTTTCATTAATTTTGGCTGACAGCCTGTTTTAGATTTTTTTTGTTGTTGTTATTGTTTTTAATAAAATTGATTTGAAAATGTTAGAAATCAATCAATATGATTTATACAAGATAGTTATTTCACCTTTATCTTTTGCTCCTTGCTTGGGCAAATCTTCTACCAGAGTTATCAGATGATTTGGGAGATTCCTATGCTAGTAACAAAGGATTGAGCCATGGGTGAAATGGCTTGGCTAGAAAAACCCTGTCTTATTCATGGATATTTCCCTTCTAATATTTGAATATCTAGTTAGTGCTATGGCCAATTCTACATTCAGAGAATCAATGTAAAAAGCATACTGGTTAGACATGCTCATAAAAAAGTACAGAAATACCAATAAATTGATTATATAAACCATGCAGCAGTAATTTTAATTCATGGCACAATTGCTACAGGGTGATACAGATAAAACCATCAACTTGTGAGAAATAACTTTGCCTAGAGACTTCATCCAGCAGTTTTCGTACTGGAGGAAGTCACTTCATTAGTCTATTGTAAATGTAATTAATTGGCAATCTTTTGTGTCACCATATTCTCTGCGCTATTGACTGAAAGCAACAGTCTCTGTGCAGTGAATAGCTCAGAGGTTCACTCATGTGGCACAGAGCCTTTCACTCCCAGGTGAGCAGCCAGAGTTAGGACTTGGTTGGTGCAGATATCTGTTTGGCAGCCTCTGGTATGTGGTTCTGTGGTTGCAGGTTTTGCATTGCTGCTTTCAGCCAAGGAAGGCAAAGAACGGAGCTGGGACTCATCTGACACCCTCTGTGCATTTTATGGCAGGCTCACAGGGTGGTTTAAGACACTCTCACTCCTGTAGCCTGTACCCTGCCTGTTTATGAGAATGCAGAAGGCTTTGCTGCTCCAAGTAATAAGAGAACTAGCATTTTTTTGAGGTGTGGTGCCAGTCTGTACAAATGAATTATTGATACTTGGGGGAACTCCTCATTGACATTCTTAAGTAATTAGTTAGCAGGAAAATAATTTGCTCATTGCAAATTGGCAGCAAAAGCAACTGTTTGTTATTCTTTATTATGAATTAGTCCAGTGGAAAAGAGGATTTGATGAAACTTTATCCCCCTGGCTTGATTTACCCTGGCTGGTTCCAGATATAGAAAAATGTTTGATAGCAAAATTTGAAAGATATATGGTAAACCAACACATATATAAAAAATTGGGACAAATTTCCTACAGAACCTTGAAACTATAAGTAAGCACTTTAGCAATTACCAGACAGAAAATGTTCCCATCAATCCATTTCTTTATAACATCATGAGAAAAGCCAGCCTGATATATGCTGTTTGGCAATTAAGTTAATTACAAAACCTTTCTTTGCTGCTTTGTAATACACATAAGAGCTGAGATTAAAAAGTTTGGAAAGTTAACTCCCTTGGTATAATTTAATGTTTTAAAGAATCCGTGGATACACTGAAAAGAAATGAGAAGCTTTTCCATCTATTCAAAATCCTAATGTGCCAAACTGTTTCCAGTGAATGAACAATACAGTTAAGTACACTGACTTTTTATTAGGATTTACAAAATCTTCTATCAACGCACTGTAATTTTGCACTATTTTGTAAGAAAATTAAAAAAAAAATAAAAAAAAATAAAAAAGGAACTGAAAAAGAAGCAGAAAAAAAATCTAAAAATAGATGCCAAATGTATAGTTTGTAAAATACTATTTTTCTGATATAAGGTGTCATTACATTGTGAATCTAACTGTGTTATTGTAAACTGTGAAAAATGTGATGTTCTGTTGTGACACAGGCTATGAAGGGCCATTTCTAACACATATTATTCACTGGACTTGTTTATATGAAACATATTCATAAATCTGAGATCACTTTTATACTTATTTTTTGTAGACTATTTTTCCACATTTGCAGCACAACTGTTATTTTATATCAAACATTAATTTTGCTTTAAAATATTATTTGAATAGGTGGGTGAGCGTCTTAAATGTGCCAGAGATTCAAATCTGTAACAGAGATAATTCAAAAACTATTCTTTGCCAAACTGTAATGCTACTGAAATCAATGATGTTTTGTTGAAAAATAGGCACAATGTCAATAAACATAAGTTTCTAGTCCAATAATGATGACAATGTCACATTTTCTAGGATAAATGCCTGGTAGTTACAAGCTGCATTTCCCTGCTGTCTTTCTGTCTTTATTTCCTGCTGAGGAAATAAAACTGTATGCCATAGCTGAACATCATAGATATTCAGTCACTTAAATATTGTGCCATGGATTTGACCTCTGATATACATTAGTGAGGATTAGGAGGAAAAAAACAAGCTGTTTGTCCTGATTTAAACTCCGTATCTGTGATGGGTCCCATGAAAATGGGGTGGTTGTCAAGGCAGGACTGGGACAATCTCAGCAGGGAGAGTAAGTTCTGTACATAGAAACATGTGGAGACAACATTTATTGTGTTAGTGAAAGATCAGGACCAAAGTCCCTTTCTTTTACATTTGAATTTACACACATAACATTGAGTGTGATCTGATAGGAACCCTTTCTTCAATGTTCCCAGCTAATGATATTCCTTGTACAGACAACTTTCATGTGTTTTATGTAATATATATATATAATGCATAAATTCATGTGTAAGAAAGAGTAACCATGGCAAATTAAATCTTAATAAAAATAATGGTAACCATTCTTACCTGCAGGCACATTTTAAGATGCCATGTTGAAAGAACTTGTAAAAACCTGTATTTTTTATTTATGAGTGATTGTATATTTTGCCCCATGATCTAGACATTTTATATCAGGGAGTCTACCAAAAAGCTTTTTTTTCTTCCCTTTGAACACTACCATCACCCTGAGATGCATCTGGAAATGTAGAGGTCAACCACTAATATTTTGTGGTATTTTTTTAGTATGGTGTTGTTGTTGAACTTTCTTCTGATTACCTATAGCTATATCCAGAGTTTTCAACATAATTTAACTGCAGACTGAAGACACCTACTGAATGAAACTACAGGTAACCATAATTATTTCAAAGACTTTCACCATTTATGTGAAATTAATATTTCAGAACACTGAAATTACAAGATGGTTAACGAGCAGCTCATTGACTCTTATTTATTGAGCACTGGAATTCTCCCTAAAGGATAAACACTGAATCATGTAAATAATAGTGCTCTATATAAGCCTAACAAAATATTGTAATAGGTATATTTAAAATAAAAAGAGAACATTCCAAGTGTACTAAAGTCTCTGATCATTATTTCATAGGTCTGATGTCCCTCTTTTTCTTCTTGTGATACTTCTCATCAAGAGCCTGATCTGAAGATTGTTGCCACTCATAACCATGACTTCTGGCAGAGATTTCACAAACAGAATTTTGGTTATTTTCAACCTGCTGCACATGAGATTCCTGTAACTGCTCAGGATTACACTGAATTCATATAGACTGTCATGTGAATTTTCTATGTACAGCAACAAGCACAGATTAATTAATATGATCTTGTAATTGACATTACATTGCCCTGTTTTCAACAATGATCTTTAAAATTTTTCCAAGTGGAATAGTAATTTACGTGGCCATGTTTCATTGTTATATCTACTGTACAAATAACCTACATTTGCAGAGATTGACTGCATCTAAAATAAGAAATGGTTAAAACAATGGTGTCAGATTTATTTTTAAATACATATGCAAACAATGGAAAGAGCTGTCACTGAAATAAATGTAATAAATAATGCAGAAAAGATCATCTGGTCACAGCAATTGCAGTTTATCCAAGACACAATATTACATCTGACTGCTGTGCAGCTTCAAAAATAGGTTAGGGATCTTCAAAAATCCTTTTCCTTTCTATCAGACAGTCAAATTTACTTCTGAGCTAATAAACCTTTGTTAATTTGGATACATTCTTTAAAAGTTTATTTAACTCTTGCCATTTACTTAAAGCAAACTTACCATTATCTTGAGCTCATCCTTGACAAGTACCGAGACAGGCAGACTTTTCAATAGTATGTGCGACAGAAGTTCCTGCCACATTTCGCACACACACACACACACACAACCCTTTCACCTTCTTCCATTCAAAATCCACTTCAAAAATTCTATCTAGGGCAGAACATAAAATTTTCTTTCTTTAAAACAAGCCTTTTTTCTTAAATGATCCACTTCTATTTCCTCTCACAAAATTCTCCTCGATATGCCAACAAAGCCTTGTGTGTTTGGAAAGCCAGGTCTCTGCCTGTCAGAAGCAGTCAGTTTAATGATACACTTCTGAAAGCACAGCACTGAAGTGCAACCTGAAAGAGAAAAGGGTCGGGCACAGAAGGTGTGCAGGTTTCTAACCCTGCCAGCAACAGCGTGCATTACAGTTGCTGAAACTACATCTCTGGGTGATAAGGCTGCTGTTGGCACAACTTCTTCATGGAGTGAAACAAACAATAAGATCTTCATAAGCTCTACACAGGCTGGTACTACGGCACACAACACTTTAATTGAAACAAGTGTGCTGCCAGTGAGCCTGAGAGTAGGTTACCAACACTCAAAACACAAAATATTCCATGTCAATTCTCACACAGACTAAAACAGAAGCTTCCTTTCAAGAAATATATAAACATATATTTTAGTTCTGATAAACCCTTTGGATAGATTAACAAGTCTTTAGACCAAAGACCTGGTGGTAATTTAAGATACCTCAGAACAGGTTTCTACAGGTAGATGGATAGACAAGCATTGAATTCCTAAATTTCCAGTATACATAAGATAGTCACAAGTTTAAAAAAGTAAATGGAGTCAGAGAGTAACTCATCTTACCTACCCAGAGTGTTTTCATCGTTAATCCTATCTAAGATCATATTAAAAAATAACTTAATGACTTGCAGTTCAATAACAATTGTTATTAAAATTGATTTTGATGTACAATGAATCAGAACAAAGAAAGAAAATGGCTTGTGTTGAAATGTGAAAAATTATCAGGTTTCATTTTCCAGTCAAAATTAGTTGTTTGTGACATTCTGATTGATGGTTTATGAAAGATCAAAATTACTCTCAAAATTCCTGTCTTTAATCAAAAACCTATTATTTCAGTAATTTCTAAATAAATTTAATTTCAGAAATTTCATACTAATTTTAGCACTATTTTTCTGAAATGTTTCCTTTTCCTAAAGGAGTCTGTTTTTCTATGGCAGGATTCTTGAATGAGGAATATATCATTAACTGCATTTTCATTCCTCTCTTGGCTCCTGTCATCATGTGTGAAGAACACATACTCAGTGGGATATTGTTAATCAATATGGAAGAGTTGCAAATGGTTTCAAAATAATTTCTATATAGTCACAGACTGTTGCCATACCACAATTTTGTTATTCCTGCAACAGGAGCAATCATTTAATGGCTGATTTCCAGCTTTCAGACATACACACTGACAAGTTAGGAACTTCACTCTGCTTTTTAAGCTGCCCAGTCCTGTTACCACAGTTTCTGATATTTGTTGACATTCTTTTCACCTTATATCCATGTGGTTTCCTCAGACATATCATGCCCTGTGCTTTTATACCACCTGTGTATCTTTACATGCTCTATCTGCATTTTGACATTAAAAAAAATCTATTTCCAGCTACAAATACAAGGCTCTGTAACCTTGAAGTAGTGAGCCCGATACCCTCATGCCACTGCCCCTTCCTAGTCACTGAATTAGATTTAATTCACATTAAGTTTAATGCCCTGAAATGAAATGTAACGAAGTACATGGGCAATCGGGTGATTTTTAATCAGTTCTGCTTGTCAAACAAATATATTGCACTGCAATCAGCTGGATGTAACAATTAAACCCAGAGTGGTGGCTTTGCCCTTGAAGCCTTTTCTTCAAATGTAGATCCAAGACATCCTGTGGTTGTACCACACCAGCCCCAGTCCTCAGCTCAAAGACAGCAAGCATTGCTGAGGGGACAGACAAATACCACAGGATAATCATTTAGGCAGTTATCCAATACTCCCTGACTAATAGAAGAAAAGCCAACCAAAATACATCTAGACATAGCATATAATTTACTACAGTCATATCATCCTGCACAAGCTCAGTTTGTGTACAGCAGTTTATCAGCTGTGTCTCAGCACAGCCCTTGAGTCTCAATCTAGGATCTGTCTGGTACTTCTGGCTTCTTTGAATCCATGAACTCTCCAGCACCATGGACAAACTTCCCAGAAACAAGAAAGTACAGATGCATCTCAAAGCATTCCGGAGAGCTGGATAGCACTGCCCAGTGTGCAGGATTGATCCTGTAGGACACCTATTAGCCATATGAGAGCCAGGTCAACAAGAGAATGTGTTCAAAAGTGCATATTTCTTTGTTTCCAGTATCATTCAAGTCCTTCATGTTGGATCTCTGAAAAATTCTTTTATCTTCTATTTGTTTGATAGTAAAAAGCTCTGTAAGCAGTGGCACTTAAAATGATCAGTCAAAAGCTCTTAAAAAAATTACAAAATCAATCCCTTAATCTTTGTAGTGATTTTACATGTCTCTGATGCATTAAATTTAAGTTTGTGTTCAAGATGAATGCATTTACAGATAAACATATTGTATAGCAAGGCAGAGCTCATTTACCTTTCTTGTAAGGATCAAATATGTATTTTTAAATCAAAATATAGTTTATGAGCTCTATCTTATCAGCAAAAATATGCAGGAATGTGCACCAAAATTGTAATAACTCTCACAGCCACCGGTCCCATTCAACCAAGGAGATCAAAGAGTTGGTGAAATAGATCTGACCCTTCAGCATCTATAAAAATGTTTTCCTTTGATGTTGCAAATTGTAGGCTTAATGGTTTTGAGACTCTTTCCACACTTATGTAAAGCATCTGCACAAATGTTTTCAGAATTATGGTCTTTACTTGCCAGAAAAACTGGTGCCTTGCATAAATATTTTATTTTATAAATATATTTCATTTCTATATAAAATGTTCTTATATAAATATCATTTTTTCAGCCTTGCATTAAAGAACTGAGGCAGAGTTGATGACTGACACTACACTTGAGCTGTCTGGGATGTCTGCACAGCCCACTGCAGTCATGAGCAGGGTGAAGGAGCTCAGCTGTTGTACAGCACAGCTGTACAAAAATACAAACCCCTCTCTGCACTGGCCCAGCAGCTGAGCAAGCTCATTTCAAACCATTGCACTTCTGCAGGGGATCTGCTAAACCTTTCAACTCAGAAAATCTCTAGAATCCTCCAGGAAAGTTATTCACATAAAAGGCCCTAGGCACTTTTCTAAATTTCATAATCCAGAGTGAAAGGTGTGACTAAGTCACCTAGGAGCACCTCCCTGGGGTGGATATTAACGCATATTTTTACAGTTCACCACAACATTAATAAAGATGTTTTAAAGATTCTTCTCTTAAACTCTCAACACAATCCTTTTAAGACAACTATAACCTGTCATCAGTGAAATATTGAAGGTTTTGCAAAACCCTTACTGAAGAGAGAGCTGTCTTCTTCCTACCAATTGGTTTTCTAGTAGTCTTCTGTCTTTTTCATGCACTTACTGGCAACATGATACAGAAGATTTAAGACTTGACTGGAAAGGATGCATTTTAGTCCAGGACACCCAGAACTAGCAATTCTCAACAAATCTGAGTGTATAATTCATACTTGTGCCAAAAATTACTTTTAAAGGTGTTTTGCTGATCTGAAATCTCAGTTTCTTAAGTGAGAACATTCCTTCTCATGAAAATCCATCTCATCTTGTGAGAGCACTGCTCTTTATCTTAGGAGGGAAAATACTTTTCTCCTCCCTTAAGTTTAGGCTCATGATGTGCTTCCATAGTGTTGCAATCTATCTCCATTTTCAGTTTGTTCTTCCATTTACTTCCTACATCAGGGTTTGCCATCCCCTGATATTCTTAGCTGCTAGGAGGAATTTATCCTTCCCGAATCCGTGTGACTAGACATCTACACAGTCCTTGAGATGCTTGGTCATACCAGCTTCAAAATTTCAAAAATAATCAGTAATTTTTCCATCTTCCTCCCCAAGGAAGACCCTTATTAGTGGTGTCTTGGGTCTTGTATTGGTTTCTTATTGTTCTTCCAGTGGCTGATTGCTTAGTTTGTGGACATTTACCAATTACATTTCTTTAAGAGTTTCTCAGTCACTTATTCCCACTACAGGAGAATTCCCTTCATTCATTTATTAGCTCAGCACCCCAATGTTATCTAAAAGTCTTACATAGCTTTTGTTTTCCCAATT